GTATTACTTTGTACACAACCCATCACAGCTGTACGCTGTTAGAAAATATATTTTTTGGAGAAGTCACCTCCCAATAAAAATCTAACTGCTCACTTTTACTCAGTACTTTTACTTTTAATACTTAAGTAGATTTTGTGTGAGAAATTTACTTTTGATACTTAAGTACAAAAAATATCAGATACTTTAAGACTTTTACTCAAGTAATATTTTTAGAAAAGACTTTAACTTTTACCAAAGTATTTTTATGATAAGATACTTGTACTTTTACTCAGTTATCACTCTGAGACTCAGCACTGATAAATAATAAAAAGTGAAAATAATCGTTAATATTTCTTGGAGTCAAACTTTGCGTCAGTTAAACTGAAGTTTGACACATCAGGACTTCAACATGTTGAAACATTTCAGTTTTCAGTAACTGCAGCAGCTTGTTTGGAGGATAAAACCTTTTTCTGCTGTTAAAATCTGAACTTTGAAGATAAAAAAATMAAACTTCAGTCTGACTCTGATGATTTATTATAAACTGAGAAAAATAAAATGTTTCAACTGATTCAACAAAACTTTGTTGTTTCAATGTGAAGTAGCTACGCTGGAGAGACTCTTTCTTTCTTTCTGTCTGTCTGTCTGTCTGTCTGTCTGCATTTCATGGACTCCAAGATGGGCACATTTCCCGTAATCCGATTGTTTTTTTTTTTTGGAAACCGTTAGCAGACCTGTTAGCTTGAGCCAAATTAGGTTCAGTTTATTTTAAGTCCAACAAAATATATTCACAATTGTAAAAGTTTTATTTTTATGCTGTTTATCCTGGATAAATTAAAACGATCCCCTCTTACAGGATGTGTKATGCACCGTGTGCATTAGCATTAGCAGCTAAACTTCAAACTAAGAACGTCAAAAAAACGTTTTAAACGTTTACATATAACGAAAACAAAAACTGACTACATGTAAAATATGGTGGATAAAATATTTGTAGTTTGACTAAACAGTATTTATAAAAATATAAACATGATTTAAGAAATGCTTTTATTCTGAAAGGGTTAAACTGGAAGTAGGCAGAGCTGTTATTCTGGTTTGGATTGACTGATTTGCCACAGATGATCCCGCCCACCTTCAAATTAAACCAATAGAAAACTGACAGGTTTGTGTTAGCGCTTCCAGTCGTCTTAGCGGTTAGCGGTTAGCATTAGCTTCCACTGGTTTATCAGTTTAGCATTAGCAGAGCTGAGATTCTTGTTCAGCAGATTACTGCGTATAGTGAAGCTAACGTTCTGCCCACTGTCCCTGCAGAAGCTGGTCACCGGTGCCCCACCCTGGAGCCAGGCCTGGGGGRGGGGCTTGTCAGTGACAGGATTTCTCAAGTAGGGGGTCTCTGCGGAAGAGCGCGGACGAGTGGGCGTGTCACAATGAAAGGCGATTCTAAAGAGACACTCCTGATTTGATGGACTTTGTTAAAGGGACACACCTGACTGGACAAGCAAAAAAAGGGGCGTCACCGTACGGCACCACCTGATTGGACAAGAACAAAAGGGGCGTCACCGTACGGCACCACCTGATTGGACAAGAACAAAAGGGGCACCACTGTACGGCACCACCTGATTGGACAAGAACAAAAGGGGCGTTACCGTACGGCACCATTTTTTCTGAAGACCCCTACTTGTGTCACATTTCTCCTGGTTAACCTTAGTGTTGGGGTCAGGGTCAGGCTGTAAAGAGGTCAAGCAGGGTCTAAGGATACCGTCATGTAGGCCTCGTAGCCCACAGTCTTTATGGTTTAGACACGCCCATTCTTGTGACACGCCCACTTTGATTCTGCAGGTAACCCCTTCTCTGATTTCTACCCATGGGGTTTGGTCAGGCTCAACCCAATGAGAAACATGGGGTTTCCTTCCTTCARCTGCTCAGGACGCCCCCCCTCTGGAGGGTTTATAAAGTCCTGGGGGGTCTCCCCAGGGAAGGGGTCAGGTTTTAGATAAACTCCCTCCCCTGAGCGTCGGCGGCTCTGACTCMGCTGTCATCACCTGAGATGACGAAGCAGACAGACGCCGCCGAGCCGACAGGAGTTACGATCTCTGAGGTCGTTAATCTGTCACCTGTGCCACGCCTCGCTTTCCTTCGGCTGTTTATAACTTCAGCTCKGACTCCGTCAACTCCTTTATTTGACGATTTTAGGTTGACATTTAAAAAAAAATCAAAGTCCCTGCAGAGGCTCCAGTTCCAGCAGCTGAATCTTGGCAGCATCCTGAGCGGTTTTGGTGCTTCGACCTGTTAGGGTTTCAGGACGGCTCGCTGAGGCGTTTGGGTGTGAAAGGTTCAGCCAGGGTACGGAGGTTAGGTGTTCTAGAAGTCCCTGTTCTGTTTTTCTTGTTGGGCTGAAAGGCCTGGAGGTTCCTGGTCTCTCAAACCAAAGTTCATTGCTTTAATTCTCACATTCAGACAACAGAAACGAACCGGCTTTGTTCTTTTGTCTTTTCAAAGTGAGAGTTTAAACATAAATGCTTCAAATGCTTTAGAAAATAACTACTTATTTTATTGTTTACCTGTTTTCAGCTGTTTGTAAAGGTAAACAAACATGTTGGCAGCTAAACATGATCAGTTTTCACAGTTTTCTTCTGCAGGTTTTTATCTCCTGATTCAAACCGTTTGATTCGAACCTCCTGCTGAGTCTGAAGCAGGACCGTTTTCAGTCCCACGACGGTGGAAGGCGTGTCGGCGCTGCGCCTCCGTGAGGTCGGGTTTAATTTCTCCCGCTCTGCCAAGACGCCCGAACGAGCTCACCTGTGGTGAAGCGCCGCGCCGTGAGAGGCAGCGCACCTGTTCTCTGTCTGCTAATCTTCCAGGTGCTGGTTAAAATCCGAGCAGGAGATGGTTTCCCTGCAGGCATCCGTGATGGATCTCATTATCGTTTTTTTTAAAGCACATCTGAGACGAAACGATCAGGTTTTACCTCCGAGGTAAATGGACTGAACTCATWTAGAGCTTTATCCAGTCCTATGAGGACCCCACAGAGCTTTACTCTAACAGTCACACACACATTCACACACTTCAGATGTGGATCAATTTGTTTGATCTCTCCAAGTCCACAGGTGTTTTGGTTCCAGAAGCTTTGTGACTTTTCAAAATGTCTTCTGACAATTTCCAGTTGGTATGTATGTACGTATGTACGTATGTATGTGTATGTACGTATGTATGTGTATGTACGTATGTATGTACAGTATGAATGTATGTATGTATGTACGTACGTACGGTATGTATGTATGTATGTATGTATGTACGTACGTACGGTATGTATGTGTATGTACGTACGTGTATGTACGTATGTATGTACAGTATGAATGTATGTATGTATGTACGTACGTACGGTATGTATGTATGTACGTACGTACGGTATGTATGTATGTACGTACGTACGGTATGTATGTATGTATGTACA